CTGTCCCCTGCTGCCTGTACGTCTACCTGTCCGTCTTCGACGCTTCTCAGCAGTTTCCTGAAGGATTCTATCCAGCCAGTCCCTTCTGGAATTCATCCCGTGTCCCCTCGTCTCCCAAACGCTCTACTTTCCACCGTAACGCTTTCCGCTTCTTCTTACTCTCCATCGTTCTAGATCGGTCGATGTTTGCCCATATGAAGTGGTCGGTCGAACCTTTATCTATCGCACTTACGTGCAGCTCTGGGATCTGCGTGCTCCCCCTATCTACCAGGGTGTAGTCGAGGATTGAGCATTCATTGCAAACTGCCCGTTGCCTGGTGAACTCCGGCTTATCACATTCCCTCCTACCGTTCAACACCATCAGTTCGTTGCTTCCCAATAATTCAAGCATCCTCACTCCGTTGTCATTCACGTTGTCTTCTCCGTGCTGCCCGATCGCCTTTTACTGGTAATGGGGAGGAGGTATAGACGTTTTTCGGAGACCAGAGGAATGAGCAAGTTGGCTAGACCTTTCTGTCATTCGATGTGTCTAATGATATGTGGAAGATACTTTTGGCACCTATTAGATGTTTGTATTGAGATGCGAAAGCGTGCATGTCATGCTACTTGTTGTCCAAGCTACTGCAATTCCTCTGTTTTCGACGATATATTTGGCCTTGCCCTCGATACGAACGGGTTTTAGGTACAACTCAAAGGCGGACATTTGGAGCCTTGGGGTGACGGCGATCGAGATGATCAAGGGACGGCCCCCCTACTCGGATATGCACCCGATGAAGGCGGTAAGTCAAGTCGGATCTTGGTAGGTAGCCTCTAATGCTGTTTGTGCGCGCGCTAGCGTGCTCTGCGTGGGTTCATGGAGGGGACAGCTCCCTTGAGTTGCCTGTAACTATGCCGCGCATGATCTTGGCGGACGGTGCCGTAGCATTATGATGATGCTACGAACGCCCCTTCCCCCTATTTCCTGACCCGCTGCCGCTGCCGCCGCTACCGACTGCGCCGTGCATGTGTGTGTCTTTGTGTGCAAGTATATAGCGGTTTATTCTTGCGTCGTGCATGTGTTATCTTGAGCAGCGATTATCGTTTGCTCCTTGTTCTGTTCTTCCTTCTGGTCCCGGCAGGTGTTGTGCATTCCCAACAACCCCCCGCCGACTCTCGGCAAGGAGGGGCACTACAGCAAGCACTTCCACACCTTCCTCGAGCAGTGCTTCCAGCGAGACCCAAACCTCAGGTATGTGATATACGGCTGTCACGTGGTACCCATGGAGTACACAGCAGTTGTCATCCGAATCACCCTACCTAGCAACATGTATTTCCTTGCCTGGGTGTACTTGTCTGAGCTTACATTATTCGTGTTGTCACAGCTAGACCGCAATAAAATGATGTGGCTTGTTTGGTTAGGTGCAGGTCATGAGGTAAAACGTACAGAGTGCTTGCCCCCAAGGGAGTAGTGTTGCAGTCGGGTCGATGACACTCAGCGCCGTTTTTCCCAGCGGGATCCTTCCACCCGCACAGCCACAATCGCTGCTGCTGTTTTATGTGGCAAGGCCTTATTTGGTCAGGCCTCAAGAGTACGAGCCCCCCGCCACCGCCGCCGCCGCCGCCGCCGCCGCCTGCACCGCCTACATGGGACCTTCGCGATTTGTGTTTTGTTCAAAAAAACACTTTGTGATTCTTGTCTGGTGTGTCTCGTTCGACATGGCCTCCGTCTCGCGGCAATATGCGTACGACCGGATGTCTGTGTGTGTTTCTTAGCATCGACGGCGCGCAAACCGGCTGACCAATGTAAAGACGTCAGTCTCAGTGCGGCTGAAAAACAGAGCATGAAGCATCTTACGGCTGCCATGATCTGTGTGCGTGTTTGTGTTTGTTTCTTTCAGGCCATCAGCGCAAGAGTTGCTAAAGCACCCGTTCATGAAGGCGGCGAAACCGACGGATACCTTGAATAAGCTCTTGGAGGCTCGACGAGCATCGCAGGTGAGTAGGAAATGAATGGGGAGAGGGGGGGTGAACTCGTGTGATTTGCACGCCGTCGCGGTTAGAACGTTGATCACGCCTCCATACAATGCAGGGACGGAGCGATATGCCAGAGGGGGGGGGGGGGGGGGG